CTGCCAGGACTGCTCAGGCAGGCCGGGGGCCCCTGCCAGCCGGCAGCGCTGCTCCTGGTGCTGCTCCCCTCCTAAGCGGTTGCCTCTCTCTCTCTCTCTCTCAGGACAAGAGCGATGCCCTGAGCGCAGCAGAGCTGCGGGAGGAGCTGGCCCTGCACACACTCTGCGAGCAGCGGGAGCTCTTCCTCCTGCCCACCAGCGCGACCTGGGCCAGCTTGAGCACCGCCACCAGCGTCCTCCATGTGAAGAGCCTGCTGGTCACCCTGCTTTCCCAGCCCTGAGCCCACACGGGGGGCAGACAGGCTCCCACCCCCTGGCACGGCCCCTCTCTGGGAAGCACGGCTCGAGGACGGAGGTGGCTGGGTGGGAGCCCTGGAGCTCAGATTCGCTGGTAGCAGGCTGCTGGCCCTGGGGTGTTTGCTGCACCCCATGAGGTTTCGGGTTGAGCTCGGCACAGCTGCTCTCAGGGAACACGAGCAGCGGGCTCTGCTCTCTGCCACATGGAGAGGGCAGCTGCCTCCCCCAGTTCAGGGATGAAACCTCCCTTGGGATGGAGGCGCAAGCGCAGCATTTACCTCCTGGTGAGTGGGAATGTGCAGCACAGGGCAGGGCCCCACATCTTCACGGCAGTCCTGCAGGGTATTAAATGAACGGGGCTGAACAAGTGAGGAGGCCCTCTTGCCCACCAGCATGGACACGTCACCCCAGATGGGCTTTCCTTCCCAAAAAACATGAAGAGTTACTGCTGGCGCAGCCCAGCACTGTAGTCCTGCCAGTACGGCACACACCGATGGGAATAGCCAGCTCAGGCTGTCCCTCACTGGGGCTAAGCACAGCCCTCGATTCCCCCAGCTCTATTTAAAACCCTGTTTAGGAGAGATGAAGACAGGTATGGGGCAGCCCTGCACAGCCCCTTCACCCTGAACAGGCCTAAGGACGGGCTGTTCAGTAGGAGCTGTGCTCAGCAGGCGTTTGCCCCCCCTGCCTGGTCTCCCTCCCTTTCAGCTGCCCCAGAGAGAAGGGGAAGGAGCTGGGCTCAGGGCCCGCTGGAAGCCCTGCCTGCAGGCAGAAGGGCTGCTGGGTCAGGCCATGGGCACTGGGTCCTGGAAAACTTATTGGGGAAGCCAGGGAGCACATCAGGGAAAAGGAGTATGCGCCGGCCGGTCTCTGCTGCGAAACCTTTTGTACAGTCGCGCCTTCCCTTGTCAATAAAGGTGGCTGATCACTCTGCACTACCCTCTGGCTCCTTGGGAGGGAAGGAAGGGGCCCCTAGCCCGATCTCCAAAGCTGCAGGCAGGAAGGTCACTCACAGGGGAAGGAAGCAGCATGTGGCCCCGCTGCAGCCTCTGCTTACAGGGAAATCGGCAAAAACCCAAGAGCTGCCCACACCCTGCAGGCCCCCAGCCCCGCTGCTGCAGAGGGTGACGTGCCCGATACCCACATCCCACAGGTCAGCACCGAGAGCTCTCAGAAGTGGGACTGCGCCAAGTGAGAGCCCATGAGCAAGGCGTTCACGCTTATTTGAGAGAGTAATTTATTTTAACAAGGCAAAAAAAGTGCTGGCTGCCACACAGAAAGGGAGCGGCATAGCACGTTCAGTCCCGATGCCACAAGCCACAGCCAAGTCTTTCATGCCTGGTTATTACTGTCTGTGATGAAGGCCCTTCCTCCATCGCCAGAGGTTTTGTGTGGCTCAGCTTGCTGGTGTTGAGCCCGTGACTGTCACCAGTCTGTCAGTCCCCACTCGGTTCAGAAAATGGTCACATTAGGCCTACACTTGCAGGCAAACCTGAGAAAAAAGGGCAGTCACTGCACGTCCATGTTTTCCTGCTTGAGTGATACAATGAAATCCTTATACTCTTCGGGATAGAAATTCTTGTACACATTGATCTTTCTCTTAATCTGCTTGGGAGTATCCTGGTAGTAATTCTTCTCATCTCGAGCCATTTCCTGGGACGAAGGAGAGTAAGTCAGAGGAGTGGCCCCAAGAGCAAACACCAAACCAGCCCAGCCACGCTCCAAAGGCCCACCCAGGCCGGCTGCGATCGGTGTCCGAGTCAGACAGGGATCTGGCCAAGGTTCAAAGCACTGCTTCCTCTTAACAATCAGCTGACTGCGAAACAGGATCCAGGAGAGAGGATTAGCGATTCCCCAGAATCACTCTGGGTGCTCCTCGCTCTGGGACAGCCAGTACTTACCTTGTAGTTCTCCCCGTGGTTCTGTATCATGTACCGCACGTAGTCAATGAGGTCTCGTGAGAGCGTGTTTGACTTCTTCTCAGGGAGACTGGCCTCATATTCCATCTCTAGGCAGAGGACAGAGACACTGTGAGGCAGGCAGGCAGAAGAGGGAAGCAAGCAGCACCTCAGAGTCCCCAGCCTCTTCCCAAAATCAAGCCCTGCCAGTACTGCAGAAAGGAGGTGGCTCCTGCAGCACAGCTCGGCTGCTCGTGCACACAATCGTGCAGGAAAACAAACAAGGTAACAGCTCTCTGCATAGGCTGCAGGCATCCAGGCCCGCGCTGTGGCTCCTCTCCAGCTCACACCACAAGGAACAGGGCCTTTCTGCCCAGGCTGCAGAGTGTGACTGCCCAGCCCACCAAAACACACTGGGTGCTGCAGCCACAGTGTCCTGTCACCCTGGTGCCTCACACCAGCATGTTTCAGAGTGTCAAGAGCCCTCGTGGGGCTGCAGGTAGGAATACTGTGAAAAAAGCAGCACAGGAGGGAAAAGGAAATTCATGAGACAGAGGCTACAGGGGAATGGCAGAGCTGCTGTCCTGGAGCTCAGCTGGGAACCCCCAGCTGACCGCTGCCGGGGTGGGGGGAACTCCTCCACAGGCCCACAAGTCTGGACAAGAAGTAACAGCCTTCCTGCCCCTGGGACAGCATGGCAGCTAAGGACAGTCTGGCAGCACAGACATGAGAGAGAAAATAAGCCACAGGGCCTTGGGAGAACCCCAAATGCAATGGCAGTGGTGCAGTTCAGCAGTAAACCTGCCAAGGTTGGTGAAACGCTCCCTGGGGAGGAGAGAAGCGGCACTGACCGTTCACCACATAGGGCTTCCGCACTATTTTCTTTCCTTGCTCCCATCCATCGCTTTCCACTTCTATCCCCTGTGTTAAACGAGAGAAGGCAACTCAAGAAATGCCATTTAGAAGAGAGCTGTGTCCCCATATGTTGCCTGCAAAACTCCAGACTGCTTACACAACGACTGCAAGGACCAGGAGGTCGCAGCTGGCTTACGCAGAGCCTTATTTGCACCATTAAGCTAGCCTGTGTGCAAGCCTGTTGCCTGAGCAATACTGTGTGAACAGAGACAAGTGGCAAACAAGATCATTCATGGTTTTTTTTCATGAATGTGACATTTCGTGGGGCCACCTTTCTCCTGGAAGCGTTGCCCTTCGATGCAGGCAGGCCAGGCTGACGCTGCTGTACACAAAGAGGCTTTCTTTGTTATCAGGAGCAACTCAGCCGCAGCGTTCCCAACCCCACCTCTCTCTGGCAAGTCCCAGGAGATCGGCTGACGTTATTTATACTTGTTCCAGGGCCCATTATTTCCATGTGACACCGCAGCTTGTTCCCACGCCAGGATCTTGGCAAGAAAAGCGTATTAATAAAAATAATAAACTCATCTGCCTACAGTGACTGATCCAGAGCCACCTGACCCACGCTCCAAAGCA